GGACAGACTTAATTTCTGCCCACTCACTGAATAAACCTTCACGTATACCTCCTGATCCCTCTTCACCAAGTCTTTGGCATTCGCAACCCTCCGAGTAGCCATCTGTGAGACATGAACTAACCCTTCCTTTCCTCTACACTCATCCAGCTGAACAAAACAGCCGGTTTCCATCACCCTGGACACTCTCCCCTTATACACTTTATACAATTCAGGTTCATCCGATCCATGTGCAGCATTCCTTCTATCTTCGTCCCTATCCTCTTCATCGTATTCTCTTCTCTTCCTCCCCTCGTGCCTATCCCTGTCTCTGTCATGACTTTTATACTCGGCATCTCTGCCCTTCTCTCTTCTATCTCCCCTGTCCCTATCTCTTCTGTCTTCCCTTTCCCTATCTCTTCTATCTTCCCTCTCCCTATCTCTTCTATCTTCCCTATCCCTATCCCTTCTACCATCTCTGTTCATGTCTCTTCTTTCGTCTGCATCCCTCTCTCTTCTCCTATCTCGCCGACCGTCTCTATCCCGTCTGTATTCGTCTCCATCATTCCCACAATTCTTCCTAGTTTCGAGCTCAATTTCCCTCTCCAGCTCCTTCACTCTGGCTTTATCATCCTTAATCTTCAAAGCAGAAAACTTTCCACTTTTATCGGCCTCCTTGGCATCATCCTGATCGGATCCAGACTTAGGCAAGGGAGGAAGAATCGCGTGGATTATCGTGAGAAGTGTCCGGACGAAGTAATCCGGCATCTCGGCGCCGCTCTCCTTCAATTTGGCATCGAATTCGTCGACGGTCTCGCAGTTCCGGCCCATCTCCGTGATAAATTCCCCCAGAACTTTGTCCGCGACGCCGATATGAGTCTCGAGCTCCGAGCAAACCTTGGAAACTAGAGAAAGATACTCTAGTCTCTTCAGTCCGTCTTCTTCAATTTCCGCCCCCATATCTCAAAACTCCGGCCTGTATGCTTGCCGTGATCTTGATGTGTCTGAATCGATTTAGGGTTTATACAGCTTGACTCCGAAAATACAGAATCCGCCCCGCTTTCTGCCGCCGGAGAGTACAAAGATTTTCCTTTGATTAGAGTCCAATAATACTCCTAAAATTGTTTTCCCCACTCACTTTTTAACTGGTCAAATTTTAATCATTTTCTTTACTTATTTTCATTAGATATTTGATAAAATAATATAGTCTTGTCACCACTTATTTTGTAGAACTTTTGATGTAGTTTTTAATTATATAAATTTTATTTTTTAATTTGACACCTACAATCAAATAAATTAAATTGAAAATAAAGTCGATCAAACCTCGTAAAATGAACCAGGAAGAACATTTTAGAACTTAGGGAGTAAGAGTTTTAAAATTTTGTTAAGACCAAAATAGAATTATAATGGTAGTGTGATATAAAAATGATCGCGATGTAATATGAGAGTATTATTTGTCAACTCTCAGCCATCGGTGTCAGCACCCTGGTGGCCGATACTAACATATGGCATTTGATAATGAGATAGTTTGTAGTGCGATAATGTGGTGAGTGTGATAGTTTAACAATAACAGTAAAAATTCTTAATTTGATCTTAAAAAGCTTTAACTCCTACCGAGTATTTAATATTTTCATAGTTTTTTATTTTTATCTAGAAAGTTCTTACTTTTTCCAAAATAAGAGCTAGTCTTTTCAACTCACTATTAATTACTTATTCTTATTAGATTTAAATAAAAGGCAATGCTAGGGGTACACCAATATAAGGTACCTCATATGTACATCATGCCAGCACAGACACACACAGACACAAAATGTCTATGCTGCACAGACATTTTGTGTCTGTGTGTGTCTGTGTTGAATTGGTGTACATAGAGGTACCACATGTTGATAAACCTCTAGGTTAATTCTTAAATAAAACTAGATTAGACTAAAAACAATTTTAAATACAATTAAAACTTTTTCCCATCTAATCAAAACTAATATGAAGGAAACAAATTTTAAGTACTCATTGGATTTGCTAAAAGAACTATATTTATGAGTATTCAAAAATGGACCATGTTACACTTACACCAAAATATATACCTCATTTGTACACCACATTTATACACAAACATTTTGATGGTTTACACCGACACAAGTGTTGGTGCGTTAACAAAAATTTACACAGACACAAAGTGTTGGTGCGTTAATAAAAATTAGTTTTACACCAACACAAAATGTTGGTGCAAACCTGCGGGGTACAAATTAGGGCATAAATGTTGGGGTACACATAGCTTAATCCTTCAAAAAATATGTCAGAATCCAAAAAATTGACATCATGCATGTGCACTATTTAAAAAATAATGATGTAAAAGTGATTATCTATTCTACTTATTCTTTTTACTTATTATTTATTAGATTAAATAAAAATAAATTTTAAATATAATTACATTCAAATTATAACTGAGACCATATTTTTAATATATGAAAAGTAAAGAAGGGTTTCGAAATGGAGTGCTTCTTTGGTACACCTTAGGTACATATCAATTTTGTTGACATTTTCACATAAAAAAAAATCTTTTTTTAACAAAAAAATGCTCATTTTAATAACAAACGTAAATACTTATTTTACTCATATGTAGGTCCATGATGAACATTAAGTCCACCATAGAATTTGCCTTTGAAAGGACCATCATCACAAAACATAATAGCACTATGAAAAAAAAGCTTCACGTACAAAGTAATTAATACTCAAAGTAACAAATACAAAAGCAAGCACACATGTAGAACTAAAAGTTTATGCACAAAGACATACACACAGTATCTATAAATTTAGAATCAAAGATCTACCCTATTATCTCTATATTAGACCTATAGTAGTATCATACCTATAAGGTCTTCTCCAGGTTAAAATATGAAATTGTAAGCCATGTCCAATAACTTAAATTGTATTTTTCTAACTCTTCTCACGCCTCTTGCACCTTCTCACTTCAGTTTTCGTACGTACTTCTCTTTAATATGTGTCAAAACCATCTTAGTTTAGCTTTGTGCAGTTTATCCTCCAAGAGACCACTATTATCATCCATTTAGGATACTTGTAAATCATCATGAACCATGCACTCAACCAGCAACCGAGTACGAAACAACATTAAAAAGATCAAAACTCAAGTTAATCTTACTTCTTTGTGTTATTTTCTTGAAAGCTCTTACTCTCAAGCTATTGTTTGCATACTCACATAGTCACATTGTCCCTATCTCTAACGCTTATGTTAGTCTAGTAGGAAATGTTTGACCATCAATAATTTTTATGGATAAAAATTTAATAACATAATTAGCTTTAATTTCAACTAACACAAAAATAATAAGAATTTTATTTAAAAAAATTTGCAAACATTTTTCCAACGAAAATGTAGGAATAACAATACCTTTTTTTAAGGATAGATGTGAAATTTCAAAACTTTAATGGAATTTTTTTTAATGAAAGCACTAAAATATATTTTACTCCCTTCGTCCAGAAAAAACTTCTCATTTGGACTTTTCTTCATTTTTTTGAAGAGTTGACTATGTGTGTAATTTCCCTAAAATGCCCTCCCTCTCCTTCCTGACCAGCCCGACAATCACCCAGTCCCAACCATCGCTGCTAGTCCTTCCTTTTCCGCCCGTCACACCACCTCTCATTTCTCCTCACCATCGGCGCCAGCCCCACCTCCACCGTGGTGCAGATCTAATAGAAGATGAAGAAGAAAAAGGCGAAGAAATGCATATCAAGACTCACTGTCACTGTCACCGTCGCCGTTGCCGTCACTGCCACAATCGCCGCTGCCATGCTCAGATCTAGAAGATGGAAGAGATATACGAAGGGAGAGAAAAAGAAGGGAAAAAAAGAGGGGGAAAAAGAAGAGAAGAAGAGATGAGATGTACGGGGAAGCGGAAGAGACCAAGAGAAAGAAGAAGAAGAAGAAGAGGAGGAGAAGAAAAAAAAGATTGAGAAGAGAGAAAAGGGTGGGGGGAAGGAAGAAAGAAAAAAAGATTGAGAAGAGAGATAAGGGTATTTTTAGAAGAATGTAAGTAAAATTAGAAATGGAAAGATTATTTTTGGACGGAGAAAAAGAAGAAATGAGAAGATTATTTCCGGACGGAGGGAGTAACATAAGTTTACATGCCCGATCTATCTGGAAAGTACATTGGACAGAGGGAGTAAATTTGTAAATATTCTTTTTTTAAAAATCCTAACTGAATATAGCTAAATTTTTATTTATTCTCAAAAAGCTATAATAAAAACACTAAAACATCTTGACTACATAGATTTATAATAAGGTACGGAGTGGTAGAAATTCTGAAAGAGTTTTATTAAGAGGGATGTATTATCTTTCCTCAACATAAATCTCAACTAGAAAATTTCATATTCCTAATATAAACGTGTAGTCAAATTTGGAACCCTAATTTGCAACAAATTGAGTAATTAACATCACAAAAGATGATAAGAGATAATTGCATATAACGCTAATTAGTGATTCACTCCAAATGTTTTTTTTCAAACAAAAAATAAGCTTTTTTTAAAAAGAAAAGGGTCCAAAATACCCCTTCAAATAAAAGGTCCAAAATACAAAAACAAGAGGCCTTCTTTGGGAACAACACTTTCAATTAGCATTAGCATTTTAGATAAAATATTAACGGTGTAGATTAATTTGGAAAATGATAAAGCTAAAGACCGTCAGATAATCTTTTCAAAACGCTAATGTTAATATGTAATGATGCCAAACGGGGCCGAAAGCAAAGAGAGAAGCCCAACAGAAGGCAAGCCCTCAGATGAGGACACAACCTCAAAGTACACTCCTCTCACTCCAAACTATTTCAGGTGATAATTGCATATAAAAATAATTACTCCAACCAGTTTAGCAGCTAGGGAGTATTTCCTTCATTCAGATACCTGCAAATGTGTAGTTGTAGGGCAGATGGGGTACCCTACCATGCACCAGCAATGCATTGAAATGCCCCAAAACCCCTTCCCAAGATGTGTCACCTGGCTCACATTGCATGAGTAGTTAACATCAAAAGTAAGGTAGAACCCCACAATAGGGGTTTCAACAAAATTAACAGCACCCTTAACCAACATGGAGAACCTGGGGGACAATTAAGTAAAAGAACATCATAAGACCTTAAAGAGAGTTTAAAAAAAGCTCATTCACAGAACTCCCATAAGGCTCATTACTGACTATATACAGAGAGAGCAAATAAGATAACACACACACACACACACACACACACACATATATATATATATTAGCAATTTAGATCATGTAACAAAAATTGAAGATGGGACCTACCCCTAGTACACCCTCATGAGTCTGAAAAGTTTTGATCAATTAAGCTACTATGGTTAGAGAGCAATATGTATACGCCGATCAGATCTAGCCTAGAAGACCGTGAGTTAGGTGCTTTGCTATAAACGTACGATTTCAGATGATTTGATGACAAATCCGATGATTTCAGACGCATAGGCTTTCATGCCGCAGCAGCAGTTTCATCATCAGTGGAGTCACTTGAAACAATCTCTTCAATGTGGTTGCCATTCACAGTTCTCTCTGCAGTAGCCGCGTCTTTATTGGCCCCATCATGAATGAGCTTTTCCCTTAATTTCATAATAAGATCTTCTCTTGCAGTAATGTCATCGGCTAGATGCTGCTTGAGAGCTTCTTTGCCAAGAAAGGTCTGGCCGTTCATGCCATAATATGCATTCCCCATCTTTGAAATGAACTTGTGTTTCACGCCTAACGATATGAGCTCCGATTCCCTACATATTCCTTTACCAAACACAAGTTCGAATTCTGCCGTTCTAAATGGAGGAGCAAGCTTGTTCTTCACAATTTTCACAGAAACTTGGCTTCCTATTGTCTGTAAGAGAGAAACATGTCTATATCACATCTTAAGAATCAGCTTTGTTCCATGAGATTTTCCTCATGACAAAAGATAGTAAAATCCAATGAGATTAAGCACAAGACGTTCAAAGAAGACTCATCGCTAAGTAGACATTTTTCAACTAGAATCTATACCTCTTCTCCCTTAAGAATGCTCCCGACTCTTTTTATATTTAGACGCACTGAAGCATAAAACTTTAGAGCATTGCCGCCACAGGTAACCTCTTGAGGCCCTCCAAATCCACTGAAAGTAGAGAGCTTTGCCCTCACCTGAGAAAGATATAACTTGTCAGCAGAGCCTTTGCATTGGCCAGATATATTCAGTGGCATAGGAAAACCATCAAATGTATGCTTAACTCTAAGGTGATCCATAATGGAAACGTTGCCAGGTAAAGTAATAAGGTAACATAGTATCAATTAAACAGCAGCAGCAGCAACAACAACCCAGTTGAATCCCACTACAGTAGGGTCTGGGGCAATTAAACAGCAAAAGAGAAAACTGAAAAGCATAGAATAAATGGACGAAAGTGGTTTGGGGGGGCGGGGGTGCGTAGTGGTTCAGACTCACACCTGATTGATAAAGATCAAAATGGTTTGTGACAAAGATAAAGAATGGCTTATTTTACGCAGTGCTTGACTCATTAGCCTAGCCTGCATTGCCATGTGTGGATCTCCCATATCACCTTCAAGTTCACTTTTTGGGACAAGGGCAGCTACCTGTCAGTTAAAGCCACTCATTAGTAGCAATTGAGTTTATTTCAATGAACCATGACTGTGATTAAGTCAATAACCAAAAAGCTAAAATATTGCTCAAGAGATGACCTTACACTGTCTACTACAACCACATCAACAGAACCACTCCTGATCAGAGTATCCACGAGACTAAGTGCCTGCTCACCACAATCTGGTTGGGAAAGAAGCAAATTTCCAGTGTTTACCCCAATGGCCTCTGCTAATGTCGGATCTAGAGCATGCTCAGCATCCACAAAACAACAGTAGCCTACAGAAGTCAAGAATTGGTCATCTACCCGTACGGAAACATGGGGAATTTAGACATTTAGTACATGGCACAACCACACAACATAATTAGAAAACAAACACCCCCTTGAGCAATCCAATCCATGTCAACATTCTCTTCTCTTCCAAAAATATCAAATCTCATAGTAAATGTGGACATTTAGTAGATAGCACAACATGTTAAGTAAACAAACACTATCACTAACTCAACCTACATCAAAACTCTTTTATGTTACAAAAAGGGAAAAAAAAATTATTTGAAGTACATTTTAATCTAAAATTTGAACATATGTGCCCAAGAGGTCCTTTAACAAGCAAATTACCTACTCAACTTAAATTTCAGTAAATTTAGAGCATGTACTTCAAAAGCTAAAAGGTTAAAGGCAAAGTAAAACTAAACAACATTAGAACAACTACTTTCTTTGTTGACATGGAAGTGACATCAACACTATAGATATGCAACAGAAAAATTTAACTAACTTCGGTTCAAGAAAAACATCATAAATTAAGGGGCAACTGTCTCATACCAGCTTAAAATTTTAACACCCAACTAGTTAAATTAAATTTAGAGTTATATGCATAAATAGTCACAACGGTCTTCCATAAGTCGGTAAGGGGGGAAAGCTATTGATGGAAGAAACCGTGGTGGCATGGCCAAAGACAGATATGGCCACTATTTGTTCATATGCTGGCATTGTGTTTATATTAATTACTCCTGCTGGACCTTAACTATAATACACAATTGGAGAAACTATACAAACCAATGAAATAAGTTATTTTAATGAGTTTACCATCTGTTAAGCCTCATAAATGATTACTCTTAAGAAATAAGAGTTGATGTGACAACTATGACTTCAACATCTTATGACATGACAGTGACATCAGCATCGCCAGGTCAACAAAGTTAATGGGACATCTAGTGATGTCAAGTTGTCAACTTTTGTCCTTAATTTTGTGTATACTTGTATGTATGATAAAGATATGTTATTCACACAATCTCACAGCTTACATCTTCATAATTTCTAAACAACATTACAATGCTTATGCCTTATAGAGAAGAATAATGGACCTAAATTTAATGGAAACGGGAACTTTAACTTAATTGGAACAATTTGTAAGTTGATATGTAACATGAATTTGACCTTTCGTGGCCCCACAAGCATCCTCAATTTGAGGTTTAATCTGACTTTAACTCGCTCTTTTTTCTTCTTTTCCCTCTTTGCTTCAAACCTTTTGCCGCTTTAATTGTGAAATCAAAGACGGTTTATTTTCCTTTGTTTGTACTAATATCGCTATGGTCCATAATTCACCGATGTCATAATTCACAAAAAGTAAATGAATGGAACTTGAAAACTATGCCAAAAAAGACATCCGAACGGCCTCATGTGCCGTGCATTGAGACGTGACCATGTGACTGGAGTTAGCAGAAGAGTGGTGATAAGTGGCTAGCATTCTAGAGATATGCTTTTTGAGGTTGACTTGCACCAAAATTCTGACCCCTGTTGCTGTGGCCGTTTACTAAATACGTATCATATGATTTGGGATGTGTTGCACAATTCACAAAAAGGAAAAATGAGGTAGATTTATTGTGGGATATTTCAGGCCTAGGGCTTCGGTGCCACCTAGAATAAAAAGATTGCTTCAGAAAAACATGTCAACGACTTAACAGTCTAAATCCATATCATTGAATGTTAAGATAAAGTCTTCAAGAGTAATAGAAATGCGAGCTAGGCATACGCTAGTAACCTCCTTGTTTTTGTGCCTCAGCAATTATATGCAAAGCAAGGGTTGTTTTCCCGGATGCCTCTGGACCATATATCTCTATTACACGTCCCTGAAAAAAGTTGAACATGGATATAAGCATTAAGACACATGGGAAAGATCAGATCCTATAGGAAATCAAGATTTTCTGCAGTAATCTGTTCCTATTCATGATGCAATTTTTGGGCTAAAATTCACAACGGATTGAGGAAAATCCAAAGTATTGAGAAGAATATTGAAACAAAAAATCTCTTTGAAAAACTGTGTTGCACGAAGATGAACAGCCAAATACTCCAAAAGTAAATAGAGGCAGAGATCTAGTGTAATAATTGTGCTACAAACTACTAAAACATGCAACAAAGGATGAATACTGAAATGCATAAAGAAAGAGAATTTGTGCAAAACTGCAATTCATCGGATATTACAAACCTTTGGAAGTCCTCCAACTCCTAAAGCAATATCCAAAGAAAAAGATCCCGTTGATACCACCGGAACCTGTTTGTGGCAGGCAGAACGGCCAAGCCACATTATGGACCCCTTCCCAAATGCCTTTGTGATTTGATCTAGCGCTTGTCTGAGAGCCAAGTCTTTCTTGGACAAGTTCTCTTCTCCTGAGTCACTCTCATCTGAACTTGACTTTTTCCTACCTGAGCTTAGACAAGTGAAGCAGATATTGGCTTATTCATGGATTTCATAGACAGTGGCATTTAAACATGCAAACAGAACAACTTAGACCTCATTAGAACACAAGAGATTTCATCAAAACATGCAGCTTCAGATATTTTTATGTCATACTAACTAAAACCATACGTTTGCAAAACAATCTTGTGAAGTCCGCACAAGTAATGACTTTGAATGCACCACTTTCATGTGCTCATAAGAGTTAAGTAAATATGTAAGTTGCATTGCAACTCCTTATGTAATCATTTTATCTAACTGGCCCATTTTCTATTAACTTCTAGCACCAACCTAGAGAGTGATATCGGTGGGCAGTGGCTCCAAATTTTTAGGATTAAAAGGGTGAAAGTAGGACAGATTACAATCAGAAGCAATGTTACACACCTTTAGAAGCAAAGTGACATATCTGAATATGAGTCAAAGCTCCACCTAGTCCATTCCTTAAGCCCTGAAGAAGAAGAAGAAGAAGAAGAAGAAGACACAACGATAGGTATTTGACTGGTGAAAACTTGTTATTACTCACAAGAATCATGCACTTGAAATGCATACACCTATGAAAACTACAAACAATTCCCACAATTCCCCCTCCCTCCCCCACAGCCCCGTGAAGAGGTATTGCTGTAGCAATGCAAATTAAGAAATGCCTAAGCTATATCCACAATTCCACCTTAAAAAGATTGTTTCTTGTTTTTTTCTTCCATATGTTGCTTCAATTGAGCATCTCTGCTTTTGAGTAGGGGTAAGATCTACGTAAACACACCCTCCCCAAACCACAATACACATGGGATTATACTGGGTTTTTGTTGTTGTTGCTTCTATAGCTTAAAGGCTTCAACCCGCAACTCATCAGTACAAAAAAACAAATGAACAATGATTAACCTTGCCCAAACACCCCCTCCATTCCGCAAAATACTTGGCTTCTTCCATACATCCCAAAAAAAGTTCACTCTCTTCTAAAAGAAAAGAATATGTAGCTAAAAAGTTCTCTCTTTTCTGAAAAAATTCCAACCATGCATTTTTAATTTTCCCCACTTTTCAACTCCATGATAGCCAATCTCATAAGATTTATTTATATGGGAATGAGGTAATATTATTTCTTTAGTTCTTATTCTATGCATTTGGACTCGCAATTCATCCGTATAAGGAAACAATCCTTACCCTTCAACACATCAATAACAACAACTGAGCAAAAAAAACTTTAGAAACAAAACGGAGTTCGAGAAAAGTTACCAATGGCTGTGATATAAGACACTGACGGAAAGACGAGAGATTTCGGAGAATTATGGCCATTGAATAAGCTCTTTTCACTCTTGACCAGAGCGCGCGCAGTGAACCAGAAATCCCCAGAATCAATAAAACTCGCCGGAAACTTTTGAGTTCAATAAGATGGAGAACAGCTCGGGAAAGAATTTCCTTCTGGTGCCGGCCCACACTAAAGTAGGGCTCTTGTACATTACATGAATATTTGCCTATTTGGGCCTTTACTCCGAGCAAGCGTTAGGAACTGTTTGACAACTTCTTAATAGGTAAGTGCTGAACCAGTAAGAGGTCTGAACCATTAAAAGCTAGTATATTGCTTAACTATTCAGAGGCAAATGTCTGATCAATTCAGATAAGAGGTCCTAACCATTTAGACTCTGTATAATATTTAACCATTCAGAGGCAAATCTCTTAACCATTCAGACATCTGAACCATTAAGAGGCTGAAACAAACAGTCTGAATCATTAAGTGTTGAACCATTCAGACATCTGAACCATTAAAGGGCTGAAACAAACAGTCCCTTACTCTATTTTCGTCTAACCTTATTGAATCTCCTTTGAAATTTTTTAGGAATAATATAAATAGATTTGATTTAATATATTTGATTTGGTCTGAATTAATTTGACCTAATTGGATTGTAGTGTAATTTAAAATTGTTACTGAACTGAATTGATTGGATTTTCATTAGGAAAGATTGATGAAAATAGTCTTAACTATTATCGGTCTGCTTAAAATTAAAAAAGAAGAAAGAGAGACAAAAAAACGATCAGCATTACGGCATGCCCGTCCCGCCTACCCCAAGTCCCGAATGGGAGATGTTCCCGTCAGGACCGACAACCAACTCATCACACCGACCTCTTTCCCAACGACATCACACCAGTTAGCAGGAAAATATACAGAAAAAGTGAAAAACTATAGCCAAGAATGTTTTTAAAGAGATACTACATCTGTCCCAGTGTATTTGTCCAGTTTGACTTTTTCGAGTCAAACTGGACAAAGTTTGAACTCCAATTACTCTCAATTTGTATTGCATATTAACATAATGAAATACAATTTTGAAAGTTTTCAATATGATAAATCATATAAAGTCATTTTTATGTTAAAATACATTACGGTTTTTATTTAATTAAAGCTCAAAGTTTGTCCAGTTTGTTCGAAAAAGTCAAACTGGACAAATATACTGGGACGGAGGGAGTAGTTGTCAAAAGTGGGGTGTAACTTAGGCTCCTTCTAACATGACTCTTTTTTTATCAATTGGGTATATTTTCAAATTGGCGCTTCTAGTAAAGTGTTTTCTAAAACAATTCTAAATAAGTAATAATTACTTATATGGCACATCATAATTGAGATATTTTTCGTTGATAGTCATCAATATACAATAATTGCTTACATTTTTTGAGGAAAATAATTACTAACATAATACTTTATTATCTAGATTTTTTCTCATGCCGGCCCTAGGACAATGAGGTGATATTTTAACAAGCTCATTGCACCAATACCTCACGTGGTTTGCTAAATTTGCACCGAAATCCCAATGGTTTCAAAACTTACATTGTTTCCCCATGTAGACATGTAGTTTTAATATTTCTACGCTAATGCCCTTTATAGTAAAATACCCTTCAAATGTTAAATGAATAGCATTGCTACCCCCTATGGTCTTAGAAATGGGCACCAACACCTCATCTCCTTTTTATCTTTATTATTTTTCTTTTTTCTTCTATTTTTTCTTCAATATTTTTGAAGATCTTTTTTAAAACTTTTTCAGAAATTTTTTAAAGTTCTTTTTTTAAACTATTTCTATACTACGTAATGATTTAATAATAAACAAATTTTGTGTTTGAAATAAAAAATTCATTAAAATAAAAATAATTAACTTACACATCATTTGTCTCATCATATTAAAAAATAATAAGAATATTTTTTGGTCCCAACATATTAAAAAAATTATAATAAGAATCTTTTAAGAAAAAATATAATATTTAATTTGAGACAAATGAAGCATATTTTAAATTTTTTATTTCAAACATCAACAATGTTCATTTTCTAAAACATTTTTAAAAACATAATTTTGAAAAACAACATTTTCATTATTTCAATCACAATCATCTTTCTTCTCTTTGAGATAAAAAAGAAAAAATAATAATAAAGAAACAAAGAGAGGGGGCATTGATGCATATTTCCAAAAGTATAGGGGGCAACAATTATTCATTTAATATCTGAACGATATTTTAGTTAAGAGGGGCACTGGCGTAAAAATTTTAGAACCACATGGAGCACATTTAACGCAAGTTTTGAAATAATAAAGAATAATAGTGCACATTTACTAAACCACATGAGGTATTAATGCAATAAACTCGATATTTTAACTATAACGTCAAAGGATGGATTTAGAAAAAACATTTAATTAGAAAAGAATACTTTGAGATTTTTTTCATAGTTTAGACGATAAAAAAATATTAAAATATACTAAACTTAATATTAGTTTAATGAACATTTTTTTCGAAAGACTATTAACGAAATAAATTCTAAAATACGGAATTGCACATAGAAATTACTACTATTATTTATAGAGTGATTTAAAAAAAGTATGATCATTTTGGTAATTTCCTCTAATCAATTTTGTTTGTTCTTCTTCAGTTTGGTGTTTTCTATTTCCCCCTCCGTTCCCTCTGCCGCCGGGGCAGGGCACAACCGATCACCCGAAACGACGAGTTTCTCCTCTCCGCACGTCGCCGGCGGGAGTAGTGCTGGAGCTCGGTAAGTTTAAATTCCTTGCGTGTTTCAGCTTATTTTGGTCATCATGGATTTCTGAAGGTCGTTTGCAGGGTTAGTTTCAGATCTGTTGATTGGCTGTTTTTGAAAGGGATCGAAGTTGAATTGTGGAATTCTCATGGTTGTTGATGTTTAATTCGTAGTGCTGAAACCAATAGGAATAATAAATTAAAATAAAATTTACAAGTGCGTATTCATAGTAATAATTTCAAAGACATTCTATATTTCTATAAGACTTGCAAGTTTCTTTTTCATCCTCTTCGCAAGACAGTGGCTGCTTCAGATTTCTGAGTAGTTTTGTTAGATTTGAAGGTTTAAATTTTGACAATACCTTCTCTGTTTGAACCAGTAAATGGAGTTAAAGAAGAAACCAGCCTTTTCATAGTAGAAACACTCTTTGTATTAATTCAAATTATATTTTCTTTTGCCCTCGCCTAATAAATTCAATTACACCTTTCTAATCTTCATTCGTCACCCATCTTCTCCCATTCTTCCTAGACGAAATAGCAACACAAAGAGGGAGAGTGTCACCCACCTTCTCTGTTTCTTTTTTGACGGAGCAGCGACGTAGAGAGGGAGAATCGTGGACGATGAAAATACCAAACATCAGGGCTGGGGGCAATGAACTGCGATGTCTTGGAACCTATCACCTGCGGCGACTCAACAACAACACCAATTAAGGTTTGCCTTTTCGTTTTCTGAGGTGGATCTGAGCTCGGGATGAGGTTCTTCCTATCTATCCAAATGGAATTGAGGATTTTTGCAAATCTGAGGTTGATGCAGAAGTAGACGGTGGGCAGTAGGTGAAGGTGAAAGGGAAAAAGTGGAATGTCAGTTTTTTTCACTTTATATTAAAACTCGTGTCAAGTCAAAACGGGAAGTTTCAACTTGGACGGAGGGAGTAATATGCAATTTAATTAGAATTATAAACCATGTTAAGCTTGCTTTTCATGGTGTTCATGTCAATCATGTTACACACACATATTTGTGTGTTAGTTGCCTAAGTTTCGTGTTTATTTTCCCCAAATTTAATAAGTTTTCACTCTTTTTTTACAGATATGATATTGATACTATGCATAAATTAAATAACTGATAGTTTTTGCAGTACACATGTTTTAACCTTGTGCATCGATGCATTTTTAGTTTTTTTTACTAACTGATAGTCATTTGGTACTGCAGTTTTTATTTGTGAAGTACACATTTTAGAAACATCAAATCAAAGTGGGACAGAGGGGACTCAACACTTCAGCAGCAATGGATAATTGCCCTAGATTGGATGAAATAAAACCCTGTCGAAACCCGTTCTGTTTCAAACCGCCGCCATGCCGCCGACCTTTGATGAGTGAAACGTGCCGCACACTGCTTCATATCATATCCCATTGCCCCACCGGTTTTGAATTGCAACCCTCCCAGCACACACTAGGTAATGTAATTGCAATCCTCTCAGCACACACTGGTATGAGTTTATATTTTCATTCCATTTGTGATCTATGCATCTAGCACTGCTCTCATACAATAAATTTTTATTTGCCAAAGATTTATAAAATATTAAACTAAAATCTTATTTAATATTTACCAGATTCCTTCAAGCATAATATGTACGGAGCATAATATGTACTCCCTCCGTCCCTCTAAGATGTTCTCATTTTGACTTTTGGTGGTTTTTAAGGAAAGTTGAAAAAAGGTGAAAGTTTACTATAATACCCTTAATGAAAATGAGTGGAGTGTATTAAATGAGGTGGTTGAGGTGTAATAAATAAAGTAAGTGAGGGTAGTTGTGGTATTTTAATGGTTAAAAAATGAAATGAGAAGATCTATTGTGGACAAAGAAAAAGGGCTATTGGGAAGATCTATGGTGGACGGAGGGAGTATTAATTTGGATTGCTGTTTTTTTGAAATTGTTTCATTGCGTGCTGATTATTGATTTCTGCTTTTCAAGATGAAATTGGCGGCGTTGAATCAGAAAATGACATGCCTAGTCATGGTGGATTGGCTAATCAACACATGGAGGCTAAAAATAAGTTAGTTGATAGTATTGATCCTGACAAGGACATCAGACATCCTATTTGGCAGGAAATGGGTGATATCACTGGTGCACAAATGAGAGGTTGTATAGATTTGTTGGATCACATTGATCATTCAAGAGAAGTTGATGGGGAAGTCCCTCACGAAAACGGTGCTAACAATGGGATTTCAGGCTCTTTGGAGGACAATGGGCAAGAAAGTAATCTTGAGTTACAGTTGCAGAATGAGCAAGGAGACATGCCTAACATTCCACAATCACCAGTGATTCAATCTGATCTTTCACAACCTCAAAAGATGGATACAGATATCTTTATTCATGAAGCTTATGCCTCTATAGAAAGTTTACTTATGGATACTGAATTTCCACTTGTTCAAAGTAATGA